GTAAATACTTGTAGACCCTAATATATACAAACAATAATTACCTATCTCTGAACTGAGTAAATGATGGGTTCATTTTTTGCTTGTTCTGGATTTCAGGATGTCCGGAACGAGCAAAAAAAATGAATATACCCAGTGACATAACAAGGTAGCGACATATGTGCACTGGAAGATTAATAAAACGATGACAACATTTGCCGCGAGTGTGCAAATTATTCATGTCTTTTTGTCCTTGGCATTACCAAGACCATCGTAAAAGAAAAAATGGTCCTCATGGCACCAGAGGATCAAATTTCTTTACTTTTTTCTTTTTTTTTTTTTTGCTCTTAGCATAGAGTACTGAACTGTTACGTGATATGCGTTCTCCTATATGGCAGCGAATGCTGGACAATTTCCTCAAAGATGAAAAAATAGACTTGAAGCAATAGAAATGTGGTTCTACAGAAGGATGATGATGATACCATGGACAGAATATGTGACCAACAACGACGTTTTAGTTTCTTTTTTGTTTCCATTCTCTCCACAACTCCGTTGTTGCTCACAAGTTTGTTTCATGGTATCCTCAGCATCCTTCTGTAGAACAGCATTTCTGTTGCTTCAAGTCTCTTCTTCCTCTTTGCGGAGATCGTTCAGAACTCACTAGCATACACGAGGACATGTATCAGATAACAGTTTAATACTCTTTCCCTTGTTTTAAGCGAAATTTTTCTATTTCTTCCTGCTTAGGTTTTAGGAATGCTTTCTTGGCTATCCCAATACTAAGAACGGGGGGGGGGGGTATTGAGAATGAAAGAAACAGAGTGGACAACAAAAGATTATGATTCCAGGAGACAGAAGATGACGATTGACGTTGCATTTAAATTTTGTAGGTCCCTTAATAACACTGATGGATAGAGCAAGTTTTCAGTTACAAAATACCATGTTATCTACATCATCACCCACTGTTGGCTATGCATTTTCGCCTGCAATAAACAAGACTCATCATTCTTTTTTTGACCGTTTCACCACAAGGAAGGCAATAAAGCCACTAAGACGCAATGGGGGGGGGGGTTACTGAGTGTTAGAGAATATGAGAAAAAACATTATTAAGGAGAGATAATAATAATATAAAAGAAGAGGAATTAAGAAGACAGAAGATAACGATTGACATTGCATTTGAATTTTTGAAGATCAAAGTTGAATAGAAAGCAAGAATCTGGAACAGAAGCGAGAATTGTGAAAGAGGAAACTAGCATAGAACTTATGGTTACATTTAGCCATTTCAACTGTGAAATGATGAGACCTTGCTGCCAATCTAGTACTGCGTTTAAAATCATAAATTCAGGGTACCATAGGGGAAAGTACATCAGAAAAATTACCATAAAAATATTTATAGAAAAGGCGCAGGGAAGCCACATTAAAGTGGCGTGAAAGAGCCAAGTTTCCAGCTCAAGTGTTCTGTTAATCACGTGGCCTTATTAATTATAGTTTTAATAGAAACAGAAGTTCAGGCCAATTGTTGGGGCATGCGCACAACCGTTAGCTCTATGCAATACTGTTTAAACACGGCGAATTGAGAAAAAGTGTTTGTAATCTGTGTGAAACTAACCCAAGTCTCTCCGTATAAGCAGTGCCATGATCACGAGTATTCTGTCTATTGTCTCTCGCGTGGTGTTTTTATGCCGAGCTGATCTCGCAAAAAATTGCATACGCCCAACTACTCTCACCAATTCTCCTAGCTCCGGGACCGTGTCTTTCTTATTAAGGTGTTAGCGAAGCCATATTTCTTTTTCCTTTCCTTCACTCATTTTGCATATACGTGCTCGCTTTTCCACACGAGGTACGTCATCTTCTCTTCTACACTCCTCCCTGATCTCCTGATCACATAAATGACACAGAGATGGCAGTTGCCTCCGTCGGATGCTTCTACGTATAGATGGACGGGATCCGCCCGCCTCTTCTCCATTTGTGCCCACTTGGTCTCTCTCTTTATTGGCATCATCATCGTCGTCTTCAGCATCTGTTTCCGCTGGTTTCGTAGATGAATAGTCTGGCCCTACATTGAAAACCATCGGCGAATTTGAGTCGTTTTCACACGACTCATCACTGCTGTTATCTTCTACTTTACATAGTCAATAGTTGTTTGGAGCATTAAATGTTAGTGGAACTTCGTCAAAGTTTCGTATTTCGTTCAGTCCAAAACAATTTTCTGTTCGTACATTTCTAAGACACTTATGATATACTGACATTGCAGACGCGGCTTTTTCCGTTATGGTCGGACTTTTGTATGGACTGATGAAAACCCACCTTTCATAAACCAGAAACCTCAAAGTTCTGAGCCTGTCAAAATCTGAATCTTTTGTTCTTCCGTTAATCCCCTGGCCTCGTTAATTATCATATTTATAGAAACACATTTCTTTGAATTTCTTTTGTCACTCGTATTTTTAAATTATCGTCCTCAAGTTGAGACCAAGAGTTAGCGCATGCGCTACAAAGATTATGTTTATCTTTTTAGCTCTCTTTAGTTTATCTTCATACTGTCACCAGGCAAGGAATCTTTTGTAGCTGGTGGGCTAAAAGCTTTTGCTGTCATTCCTTAGTGTCTTTTTAAATCATTTCAGTCATGAGTAAGACAGTAAAACTACTAAAACACAAGTGGTTGCTGAGTGTTAAAGAATAAGACAAAAACAGAAAATTATTTAGGAGCGAGAACAATAGAAGAGTAATCAAGAAGACAGTCGATAACGATTGACATTGCATTTAAATTTTTGAAGATCAAAGTTGGCTGAAAGTATGGAGCTTCTGGGACATGGACATCATCATCCGGTTGAAACATCTATGAGAAGTTCGTAAATAATAATAATAATAATAATAATAATAATAATAATAGTTATTTTAGTAAATTTCATGGAGTCAGTGGGGGTTAGTAGGAGATACTGTTGCAGCACTCTGGGGCAACCTATGTAACACTCATGTCTCACAGTGGGTCCTTTAGTCCTCAGGTGCGATCGAGCAAGCTTTTCTTGGTGCCTGGTCTCTCGGCATACTCATGATGTTTCTGATCCAAGGTTTCTCTTGCCTCGATTTCTTGCATTCAGGGTATTACGATTGTATCTTTCCTGGTGTTACAAGGCCCCATTTTGCCCTACCTCTTTACACTTACACAAATAAATACAAAACCTACCCTAAAATGATGACTTAAATCTCTAGCTACTAGATGCCCTTTATACCATACGAAAAGCTCCCATTCACCAAACCCTTTAGATTTCATAAGAATAGAATGGAACTTTCTAGAAGCTTCTACTAGGTTCTAGAGGGTACAAAAAACATATATAAACAGGTGTTCGTACCAACCAGCCAGTTGGCCTCTTGAACCCACAGGCACGACTATTGAAGTCGACTCCGGTCCCTTTTGATTCATGAACAAAGCTTCGACCGAAAGAATCTAAGTTCCGGGAGTCCTCAAAAAGAAAAAGCTATTGGTAAATACTTCACCTTTTTATTCTTTGATATTATTGACCAAACTCGTTTATTTTATAGACATATGAATATCTAACTATTTTTCTAAGAAGAAAATAATATTATTCTTTGACTAGCGACGAATTCCCATCCGTCGCCTTAATCTTAACTGTATAAGAATTTCCTTCTCCTACTCCCTCATACGTTAAGCCAACTACTTTCTGGTCTCTCACACGCTTATTAACTTGTTAGTATTTCCCAACGTATATTGTTTAAACCTCAGCCCTAGTGTTAACCGTTATTTCCCCCACATATCCGCATAAAAGTGGCTTTTACTATTTAGCCCACTACCTCGAGTGGCTCTTGGGCTTTGTACGGGGTGAACTCTACTGTAAAAAAAAAAAATACGAACTGACATTGATCCTTGATAAGACTACTCGTTTTCCCAATACAACGGGACATCAGGAAAAGCTCCAAGACCCCACTTCCACACATTCATCTCTGAAAAACGATCCGGTGAGTATTACCTCCTTTTGGACACTTGAGACCATTCGCGCCGAACCAAAGCATACTCTGATATGCCGTTTCATAGAACGATCTTTCGGTACACCAAAGATGACTGGAATAGCATCAGATTAAACACCCTCATTCCCTTCGTAATAAGGAATTTCCATTCGAAAAGCTTCTCCCCACGAATCGAAATTTTGTGGAACCGACACCCAAGAGGATGCTTTTCCGACAGTTACATTTTTAACCACTTCAAATCTAGGGTTAACCGCTAGCTTTCCCACATATCCAGATAAACTTCGCATCAATTCTTACTCTACCTTGAGTGACTCTTGTGCCTTGTATATTATGAACATTAGTAACAAATAAAGTGACAGTATGAGGCAAAATTATAGCTTATGGTGTTAACAATGGGGATAAAATTAGCTTACGATAAACTTCAAATTTGCATATAAAACGCAAGCCGGTTTCTTTCAGCCATTGTTTTTTTTTTTAACTGTTCCTTTTATGTTGTCAGAACTTTGTCCATTTTTTTTTTATTTATTTGAAAGTTCACACTTTTTCTTTTCTATTTTTCACTCTCTTAATATTTTATTATTTTTTCTTTACCGATCCGATCGTTTCAGCATTATTTCATTCATTCCTTATTCGTTCTTTGTTTCTTTCATTTTTCGTTCGTTCTTTGCGTTATGCATTCACTCATTTTTTTCTTTTTCATTTTATTTGTTTTCCAGTTTTATTACTGCCTTTGTTTCTTTCATCTTAAAAATCTTTCTTTTGTTGTTTTCTTGATTTCATTCATTTTATTTCATTTATTTCTTATCTCTTTCTTCCTTCTTTTTCATTTATTTAATTATTTCGAGAATTCTTTCTTTCCTTACTTCATTCAATGGATTCATTTTTCATTTATTCCACATTTCTTTCTTCCTTTCCTGTCTTTCTTTAATCAATTGTAAAATTCTTTCTTTCAATATTTCATTAACTTCATTCATTTATCCTTCTTCATTATTTCATTCATACATTCATGCTTACGTTTTCCTTTACGTTTTTATTCATTTATGTTATTCTTTGCTTCTTTTCTCCATTTTCTTTTATTTCTTATTCATTTATTTTTTATTTCATTCATTCATTTTTTTTTTTCATTATTTGCATCGTTCATGTATTTATTCTTAATTTTCTTTTCCGTTTCTTTTATTCTTTTTCGTTCATTCTTTTTCTCTTTTTTGTTCCTTCTTGCTTTTTATTGTTTCTTTTTTCATTCCTTTTATTTTTCAGTCATTAATTCTTCTTTCTTTTATTTGTTCTTTTCCCCTTTGAGTTTTCTTTCGTCTTTTATTTTTCCTTCAGAAATTCTTTCTTTCTGTTTCCTTCTATTTTTCCTCTCATTCTGCGCCATACATTTCCTTTCACACTCCTTCACCCTGTTTTTATTCCACCTTTATATCAATCGCAATTCTAAATTCAACGAAAGGGACGCGCAAACACACACACAAATAGATTATCTGTAAGCACAAAAATTGGACTTCAAGAGATCAGAAGCGAGAAGCGAAAATGCAGATTTTTGATTGGCTGTATTTTTAGTGATGTCATCAAGTATTGGAAAGTGTCATCCCATTTAAATGTCTTTTATATGTTATTTTCACATATTTTCCGGCGGTAATCGGTCTAGTTTAGTTGCAGAAGGGTGACTGGAATGGTCACGCGTTTGAACCGGATAATACTCATCGCGAAAAGTTTTGATATAAACCGATTTACATTTCCCGTCCTCTAAAATAATAATGAAAAAAATTGTTTTATTGTCATGACTTGTCATTGACTTGCTCACAAGACGCCAAATGCATTCAACTTCAACTTTTTACTTAGACAGGGTAGTCGTCGGGAAAGGTTATCACATAAAATAATGTTACTAAAAATTGTTTGGGAAAGGGAAGAAAATATACTTATCCATTCTTATTCCTATCTCTCACTGTCATTGCAGAGCTTGTCTATGAATATAAAAACAAACACATACATGCCTTACTTCTTTCTTGTCCCTCTCTCTTTCCTCCCCTCTCTATTTACATCTATCTATCTCTATCTATAGATATATATAAGTGAACATTGAGGTCAGCACTCAGAGGCGACAGGCTGTTTCATGTTAGACGCAATCGTCAGTCGGCTTGACGATTGCGCCTAGCATGAAACAACCTTTTGCCTCTGAGTGTTGACTTCAATGTTCACTTTTATATTTATATTTGCATACGCTCTATCTGATATTGAGCACTTTTATCCCATAAATATAGCACACCTTAAAACGATATTTCTTCATATATATATATATATATATATATATATATATATATATATACTCCTTAGACCCAACATCTCAAAATATCAAATTTGTTTGGACTTATAAATTAAATATATCATTTTTTAAAAAGTTATTCTTATCATCGCTTGATAATAGAATGGAATTTTGTATTTTCAATTTAATTTTTATGAATGAATTTGAATAGAAATTTAATTTTCGAAACATGAGAATTCCGATGTTGCGATAATTACATATTTTTAAAAAACAATTTTAATATTATATATATATATATATATATATATATATATATATAGTCCGATGAAGTCCTGAAGGACAAAACGCGTTACAAGTAAACATTTGCATTTGTCATACAATTACCCCCTTATATATATTGAGGTAGAATCTCTGACTGATGCCAAATCGGTCGGGTTTCGATCCCAGCTTGAAGCCATCGGACGTCTAGCCACAGTGAAGAGCTGTGATACAGCGAAACAGTCTGTCTGTGGATGAATATATATATATATATATATATATATATATATATATATATATATATACTTTAAAAATCAGGAGATCAGTTGAATCCGCTACTTTGGTTTCAACCTTACGGTATCCTCAGGCGATTTTTATCCAATGACCTCTCAACGCTTTATTTTTTTTTCAGCTAATGAACGCTATATTACTTTTTTAAACAATAAATAAACAAACGCACGACGGGAGAAGGAGGGTGTGAAGAAGGAAAAGAAGAGGAAAAGGCAGAAGAAAAAGGGAAAATAAAAGGAAAGCAAAGATAATATAAAATTAACGGTGGGTGTAATCGAAATGTACATTTTTTATTTATACAGCCTCATATGTGCTTAAGAGGAATTTTTTAATATATAAGCAAGGACTCAAGACTTTGAGTTTCTGATTCAAAACCAACACCAGCATAAAGAATGCTCGATCCGATTAAGGAGGTAATGTTTTCAAGTCAAGAGTTACTTGTAATTAAAGGAACCAAAATCAAGAAGTAAAGAATTAATACCAACAATTAAAGTAAAAAAAGAAAAAGAAGTTCAATAAAATGTTATCTTAACTCAAGTATAGACCGGGTCAATATTTTCTTCTGGCCCAAAATTGAGATTGAGAGAAAACTGACAAAAAATAAAATTTTGGTATTTTCAATTTTGTTTGGATCAGTTCTCATTGGTCAGTCATGTATCACGTGCATTAAAGCCGTAGTTAATTCTATATGTATGTAAATTTTTAAGATTCTTGTATGCTTAAAGTGGGAATTGGATGGTGATGGCCTATTCGTAATTGTGTATGTGTGCCTGTCTAGTAGAAGGAGTTCTAATGTCTTCTTCTTTGTTCGGAAAGCCGGTACAGTGGGGTGGCATTCCACTCTAATCAGGTACTGACCTTTTTAAGCACGTACTCTTTGCGTTAGATATAAGTTATATTTTTTAAGAATGGATTCAAAGAAAGATGGTAGTGTAATGTAATGTTTTAGGCGTGTGTTTATAGTTGGTAATAATGTTATTATTAAGCCTTCAAGGTATTTTCTCCTTAAAGAATTATGTACTTTTTTGTAATAAGGGTGGCATTAGTGAAATCAAAGATATATCCAGCATCGTTCCTATGCAATACGAGTGTGTTAGATCGTTTGTCTAAATCTCTCTTGTGTTCGAAGATACGGGTTTTTAGCTCAAATGATGTCTTTCCACATAAATTAGATAGATAAACGTTTCCTATTTGTTCTTTATCTTATCATTCTGTTGAATTCCGATCCATATTTGATCTTTAACCCATGTATATATATATATATATATATATATATATATATATATATATATATATTATTTATTCGAAAATTATAACATAAATATGTTATAAAATCACTCCGGTATCTTATCAAGTGATGATGTTATATTCACTCTGCTGTGTACTGAGCACTCTTTTAAGAATAGTAATTGTTGGTTATTGGGATTTATTTCGTATACACCAATCCTATACTTGTATGTATATATATATATATATATATATATATATATATATATATATATATATATATATATATGCATACGAGTTTACATGGATTACACGACATCATACAGAATTGGGGAGAGGACCACGGCTCGGAAGACCATGATTGCGAGACGTGGACCTTGTACCGTGGGGATATCAAACGTCTGGATCGGTTGCGGCAAACGAAACTCCGAAGAATTCTTCGCATCAGTTTGGAAGACCACATCACCAACAATGAGGTTCACTTTTGAACGTCTCTCTCCTCAGCATCGTGGCTAACACCCTTCAAGATCTCCCCCGCTGGGTGGGCCACGTGTTCAGAATCAATCCCACTCGATTCCCTCGTATCATCCTGTATGGAGAGCGAATTAACGCCAGGAGTTTACGCTGAGGCAGAAAACAAAGCTCGAAGGATCAGCTGAAGACATTCCGGACGCAAGCGTACATCGACCCTGAGACCTGGGAAACCGTTGCTACGAATCAGCCTTCCTGGCGTAGGACCCCCTCCCGAGAGAGGAGGAGACCGAGACTTTCGAGTTCAGCCGTCGACATGAACAGGATCTGATCTGCGACGAGCTTTAAGGAGTGTCCAACTTGCCCATCTGTGTTCACCAACGACACACCTCTATGACTCCTGCTCACGACCCTTCAGGTGTAGGTTGGGCCTTCACAGCCACCGCCACCAAAGAGGGAAGTAAGGAATAGGGAGAGAGGATGACGATCCCGATGATCGGATGCGAGCAAGTGCTAACGTGTACATGACATCTATGTTATTGTGCCATGGCCTATGTAAATAAAATCTTGGAGACGCCTTTCAAGGGCAAGTATGCGATTGGTTTGGTTTATTTTACGGCATATCAACATCTCAATGGGTTGCTTAATGTCGACAAGATTTTTATTGCTCGTAATTCTTTTATCAAAAATATATTGTAATATTTTTTTCAAAAATGTATTGCTGTTAAAAAATTTTTTTAAAAAGTTTTGCTGGTATTAAAACCTAATTTTATACATTCATAGTGTTGTAACTCCTTTGTGGGGTTAACTATTAACCTATAGCTGGGACCCCTGACAGGTGCTACCACCCCGATTCAGCATGGACCTGGGAACACCAGCAATTAATAAGTGGTACCACGCTCTTCAAAAACTTCTGATCAAAACCCTTGCTTTCGGATGTCGTTTATCGATAAGTATTCGATGTAAATTTATTAATTAAAACGTATGCAGTTGTTCAAATTATGAAAAAAGAGGGTAACAAACAAGTAAATGCCAACATTTCAGGATTTTAATTATTTAAATACAAACCCCTATTAATTTATTTTATTTAATTAAACTTTAGCGTAATTATTTAAATCCTTAATTTGGCATAATCTCTCTTCGTATACTCAGTAATCTTCTTATAACTTAAATTTCGGTTGTATTTGAAAGTTAAAGGCATAGAGCGAGTCTGAATTAAAAGAAAATTTAATTTCCGTATATAAATAAACTTTTTAAACATTTTTGAAACATTAGCACGTTTTTTCGTCACCCATCGTCTTTATCGAGACGCCATTGTATACGAAAAATATAAACAATAAATTTAAAATTCTCTTTAAAATCCAATATTTGTCCGAGAGACGTATTTCAAAGTCTATTAGTAAATTTAAGGATTTAATTAAACTTTAACCTTCTGGAGGTGATTTTCTTTGAAAAGCAAACATTTTATCCTGCTACTGCAAGTGATTTAGACGAATGAATCATAACGGGTTTCAATTTTGCAGTTGTGTTGTCATATACTGGTAGGGCAACAGAATATGACCCTGACTGAACTTAAACAGTACAGTAGAGAAGCCTTGAAAAACAATACAGCGGAAAGGAAAGTAGGGAATAATACAGTCTGTTAAAGGTTAACTGGATTTTCTAAAAGTAATGTTTACCATTTACTTAAATAAAATGAAAATAACGTTTTATTTACAAATCGTATCCTGTGAGGTCAAAAGATAAAGTAGAAACTAATTCTACCCTTGGTCAAAGACACAAAAACTGACTGAGCGGGAGATATAAAATTAGATTAATATAATAAATCTATCCAAATATTGAATAGTAATCATTCAGTCAAAGCGAGATATCTGAATTATGTGCTTGCTGTACATCCATACCAAAAATTATTCTAACAGTTACTAAAAGGTAGAAGAATAAAATAAAATTCTTTAAAAAAAGCTTCACATTCGAAAGTGCCATTTAACGTCACATTTTTTGATTTCTCAAGCATGTCTTTATTTAATAGAAGAAACTCTTATGACGAACAGCAACGGGATGAATTTCAATATATATATATATATATATATATATATATAAGTGGACACTATGGTCAACACCGAGCGACGAGGTGTTTCATGCTTGAACGCAATCTTCAGACCATGAAAGATTTTGTTCAAGTATGAAACAGACTGTCACCACTCGGTGTTGACCTCAATGAACTCTTTTTATATTTATATACGCTCTATTCTTGATTTCGAGTGCTTTTACCCATACCTCAAAACTATATTTTATCATATATATCAGTGTGTGTGTGTGTGTGTGTGTGTGTATCTGTTTTGTTATTTAAACTCGCGCGCATGTGTATAAATGAAGCGATTTACATTTGAATTGGCATCAACAAATGCAATTACATCCATCCTTCTGTACGCATGCGCAGTAACTTAGGTGTGGAAATGAATATAAATCCAAAGTCAGCACTCAAAAAACACAGTCCGCCATTAGAGAAAAAAATAATGTACTACTATCTTATATCGAAACCTATTCGTTAC